ATCTTAATGCATTGAATGGATTACAGTAAAAAATGCTTAGAATTTAGAACAATTTTGATCAACACCCAATTTCCTATTTAAGGGAAATATTTGGGCCATACGTCTCAGCTAGGAGCACACAATGAATTTGTTAACATATAAGCATCCAGACAAAGGGGGGCAATGGAAATCACAGTTGTTCAGATGGTTGAGAGCTCCAGAGACCACTTCATAGCTGTGCACAAAAACATAGTAAACCAGAAGAGAAACCAGTAAGCTGTGAAAATGTGCGAGCTGTGTGTGTGTGTGTAATTCCCTAGGCAGCTATGTTTTACGGGTTGGTGGCTGTTTGATGCTCCAGAGCCAGACAGAGAATAGAGCAATGAGCCACTGTCCTTCCCCATGTGTCTCTTGTAGTTGCAGAGCTTAGTCTCTGTCACGTCATATCACAGCGCAGGTAAAGGGGCAATTCAGACCGTGAACTTCAGTCTACATATGTTGTCTTCAACAATGAACCTACAGCACAATCTCTCACAACTAGTTAGCATCCTTTATTTTTTTAATTCCTTTAATGCATACATACACTTTTCATTCATGTATTTATTATATTTGTATGGGGTTTCCTATTTGAAGCTAATCATATATTATGTGTACACACATACACACATGCACACACAAACACTACATTTATGTAACAGTTCTCTTCCTTGAAAAATAGGTACGGTAATTTTCTCCCGCTGCAATACAAGCTCACAGTGTTAAATTGAAACCAGCAGTATAAGAGGGTTTTTACTGGCTCAAACTGCTGGACTTCCCACCTCCTTCTGTTTTTCAGGGGATTATGAAAAACTAGTTTAAAGACAGATTTTAGGCACTTATAATAGTAGTTTTATAATGTACGGAATTATTTGTTTATTAACGCACAACTAAATTAAAGGACATTTTTTATATTTACCAGGAATTCTTTAGCATTCAGCAATCATGGCCATTTTTTTGGTGTTACCAAACCAAACACCATCACGGATGATGTGCCAGATAACCAGAATAGATGATAATGTTAGTAAATTCTTCTGATCTGATTCTTCTGATCTAGAGTCTTGGTTTGATATGTATATTTCATTTTAGGAACAACTAATACTATGAGATAATAATTTTGGCACTTATTAAAATAAGTAAACTGAATCACTATGTCTCCAATACATGTATATGTATGTACTGTATGCATTGGGTAAAACTGCCTATTCTCCTGCACTGGATGGCAGTGTATGACAATCTCTGAATCTACATATTATTTACTGGTTTAAGGAAAACCGGCTCCTTTTTTTCACCTTAAACTTATTATTCTGCCAGATAACAAATATTGTACTACTTGGCAGGTAAATTAACCTATGAAACCCAAGAGACCTAAGTTGATGCTGGATGACTACATCATTTTACATACGCTAGGGAGAAAACACACACATAGTGAGTTAAGAATGACAGATGGGAGTCCAAGTACAGCAGAACATAAAATATGCAATGGAAGCAACTTCTTCAACATCTTTGCAAAGTATTTTAAATATGTGCTGACTTATGGTGCTATTAGAGCACTTAGCCATCAGCTTTTCATTTAAGTTCACAAGTATACCTTATATTTTCTTGGTAACAGGAGGTGGACCTGTTATGCAAAATCAACATCCCCTTTAGCTTAAATAAACAAAGCATATAACAAAACCTAACCTTTTCATGTTACAGTTGTATAATTTTCTAAATATTATGTTATTGATATGGGTATATAAACTGCCATAATACAAGCAGATAAAGATATTCATGAGAGTTCACAGGAAAGTGAATACAGCCAGGACTGGTGCAAGGATTTTTGTCTACACTGGCGAAGGTGCATTTTTCTGCCCCTCACCATCTTCACACCCCCCCCCCCCCCCCCCAAAATGTTAGGGTGTAATGAAATATTTTAGTTACATGTTTTAAAAATTATTTTAGGCCTGTAGATTACTTAAAGCCCCCAAAATATTATATATTTTTTGAAAGCAGATACCCTAGAGAATAAAATGATGGTAGTTCTAGTTTTTTATGTTACTCGATATACGCAATTTTATAAGCAATATTTCAGTAAAAAATACACTAAATTTAATTTCTGGGCACTTAAATGCAAGTTATTACCTGTATTTGTTTGTGCACCTATTTTTGCCCCGACAAGTCATTAGTTTAGAGTTACAGCTATTGCCATTTCTTACATTCTTTTATGTGTCTCTTTGTATGCTTAAAACGTTTTTGTTTATTTTTTACATAACATTTATTGTTTTCGTACAGGGGACCAACAGCCTCCTATGTGATAGTATATAGGCAACAAGTTATTTTTATGGAGAAACCTGGGGTCTATTAGACTCTGGATGTCTACTCTCTACTCTCCTGCAGATGTTGGAACACAGGCAGTGTTCCAGCAGCTACTTTCCACAGCACTGAGAATGAAAGCTCCGGGCCAGGAAGTGATGTCATACATGTCACTTCCTGGTCTGTTGAGGGAGCGTGAGTGAACTGAGGTTTGCTGAGCTCCAACCGCCATGACAGCACCAGGCCTGCAGGTGGGACAAAGGAGTCCCGGAGGGTTGCGTGTCGGTGTGGAACATTGCATAGGTGGTTGTGGAAGTCATAGGCAGCTTCACAGCTGCTTGTATCACTTCCACATGAAAGCCAACAGTTGGCTTTACTGTATTATTATTATTATACAGGATTTATATAACGCCAACAGTTTGCTCAGCACTTTACAATATAAAGGGAGACATTACAGCAACAATACAAGAGGGTTAGGAGGGCCCTGCTCCTTGGAGCTTACAATCTAAAGTACACACACTCCCGACTGGGGTGTGTGTGTGAAAAAACACATCTGCAGCACTGCTGGGGATATGGATTTTACCACCCCCCTTCCCTATCCTGGTGCCCTAAGCCTGAAGTATATAATACATACAGTATGATGTATGCTCTTTCACTTTTCTTCAATTAAATAATGATTTCTAGTATGCACACCAAACCCTTGGTTGTCCTTGTATAATCACCAGGATCTGAAATTCTGAATTTTAGCCATGGCATCTCATGCAATGAGAAGCTAAATTAAAGTTTAAAGAGACCCTGTGGTGTTTCTACAAACATCTTCCCATAAAATGATATGTGCATTTATCACCTAAGTCCCAGGTGCCACTTTTATATGCAATTTTAAAATGTTACAGGAACTATTCACTGCAATGCTGTTTTAAAATGACAGTGGCGCTTAAAAGCTGCTGTGGTCCTGGCCAGTGTTCAGGCTGTTACTGACAGCTGCACCAAAATACTAAGCCCAGGAGGTGAAATGATCAGCTTCTGCTACACAATGCTCCATGGAAGTGCTGGTAGAAGATGAATGCAATGTTTTCACATTGTGCTTACATCAGGAGTGTAGTGACATCACGAGCGAGGTAAAAGAACTCGCTGTAAGCAGGCAGGATGGGCAGAGCTGACGCAGTGTTTCCATGCAGCAACAGATCACTGTTATAGTGGCTTTTTTGCTGACTGCTTGCAGCCAGAAGCAGATAACTATTGGAAGTGATCCGCTGCTGCACAGCTGAATTAAGTTTGTGACAGGGTCTCTTTAAAGTAGATCTAAACTTTAACTGAGTAAAATATTCCATATGTATCATAAACAATTGCCATTTTTAGGCAATTTTTTTAATTTTAAAAATTGTGACCATCCACCCAGTTTATGATTGATTTAAATTGGGTTGTAAATTTACAACATCAATACATGTTATAAAAAAAACGTGTGGTGATGCACAGTGATGATGCTCTGAGCTTGGCAGATGGCACTGTTTTCAAAATGAGCTTTATTGGGATGTCACAAAGACATCTCATACAGTTCAATTTCCGGCCACGTGATGTGAGGCAGCGGACTGCCTCTCCGTGTGCAGCACTGATTAAAAGTGCTGCATGAAGTACTTTTTCTCAGCGCACTGTACCCGAACACAACCACAATGCAGTGATGTGAAGTGGGCACATAGGAGATAAGGCATTTTGTCTTGTCCATGACTGCACTGGAATAGCCACTCAACACGGTCACATACACCGCATCTGGTGTGAATATACCCAGAAACCAGAAAAAAAAATCATTTTATTGATAGCAATTTTAACTTTATGCCAGGTTTGACTGAAACCATTTCAATCCCATCTCCTCAGGGTCAATCGCAACCACTAATTTTCCAATTCAATCACTTAGTTTTTCTTTTGAAAGTGGCTGAAATAGAATTGCCATGTATATGGCCAGCCCTAGTATCACACTAGCAAATCAAGACTGTATAGCCCACAAGGTACATAAGGGCTGAGGAAGGAGATTCTGAAAAAGAAATCTTGCTTATTCTTGGTAAAGAATTCTAGAAATAACTAAGACAAATGTTATCCTGCTCTGCTAGATGTTGAGATGGAGCAGGAGTGGTCGTACCATATGCTATTACACTGTTCCATCAACAAAAATGTTGTGCAGGGGTAGTAACAAAGAACATCAAGCCAGGCTGCTCTAGTAGATAGGCCAACTATCTGGAACCTTTTACATGGTATTGTGTTACTGACCATGCACCAGAAGATTTGTGCATGGCTGTGTGCCATACCTGGCAGCCTCACTGCCCTAATTCACAGTTAAGTTGACCAGGCAAAAGAACAACCTTATACAGAAACCCTAATTTAAATAAGCTTTCATGTTTCTCACAGCTGGAAAAAAACTAACTCTAACCTGCCATGAAAGTTTGAATCTGATTTGTGATATGTTATCAGAGAAAGAGAAGTTAAAAAAGTTTTGAATTATGCATATACAGTAGCTCTCTGGAGTCTGACTGCAATGAGTTTCAGAAAACTAAAATTAAGATTTACAGACTGGACTTTCTAATATAACTTCAACTGTAAATTTCATTGATAAAATTAGCCAACTGATTTGAGCATCAATCGATGCCACTTCTTGCCCTGAAATGCTAAAAGTTACAGATTGTAATGATGTGAATTAACCAGGGGTGGACTGACCATTTGGAAACTCGGGCACTGCCCGAGGGCCCGGGGTCAGTAGGGGCCCCCCTGAGATGCCCCTGGTACCTTTTTCATAGGCTTTTTTGAGTTTGGGTAAGGTCACAGGGGCCCCATGATCCCCTATTGCCCGGGGGCCCCATGAGTTGTCAGTCCGCCCCTGGAAGTAACCAATCTAATGTCATAAATAAGTTTTAAGCTTTGGGTCACTAGACTAGACAATACTTTATTTTTTTTTAATTGTTTGTTTTGTAACTCATTTTTATGAGGACTGTAGGTAAATAAACATTGAAGAACATTTATTTTTTAGCCAGGTAATTATGAAATTATTATTATCAGGATATTAATTATTTTTAATTTATATCTACTAGTGTGCACAGCACTTTACAGAATAAAGGGGCACAGAACCTTCATTTACAATACAATTCAGAACAAGAGGTTTAGGAGGGCCCTGGTCATGGCAGCGTACATATTAATATTTTCTGTTTTTGTTTAACCACCAAGAGACATATTGGAATACTTTTTGCATCTGTAATTCAATCTATAAAAACCCGTTGAAAAAAAATCCTCCTGTTTACAAGAGACAATGCAGATACAATTCACATATAAACAAGTGGAAACAGATGACCGATCCTGTTAATAGTTACTTCAACTGGTCTGGAGTTTCAGTTAGACAAAGGAAGCTGCAAAGCAAAGTAGCATCTACAGTGCAGTCCATTAGTTAACCAGTAGTTCTCTGAAAATGCTCAAACATTATTGTGAAATAACTCAAAGTAACCAATCTAATGTCATCTTCCTTAGTTTAGGCTAGAGCAGACAAAAAATAAAAGTAAGCATGTGTATTTAGTGTTTGTGAAACAAAGACTGTGCATTTTACAGTGTATAGTAAAAAAAGCAACTTACATAAAACTATTATAGTTTCCCTTTGCTATATATATTAAGCCAAAACTTAGGTAACTAAGTAAACTTGCCCTGCCAGTAAAATATCACAGTGATCCTTTTGGCCCATGCCTTCTACTTGTTATCAGCTTTAAATAAACTTGTACACAGTACAATAGCTGTACAGTTGTTGCAAGCAGTGCTTGAATTGGTTGCATTGCTAGCTATTAGGGGCCTGTATGAACACCCAAAGCCGAATTACCATGAAAAAGCTTTCTTGTATAATTGTGCTTCTGGTTTTCAGAAGAGTCTTGTGATTCCAACTGCAATAAACAGTTTATCAGTTTAGGACCAACACTCTTTGAACTGAGAACACCAACAACATATTCAAAGCACAGTGTCTGACACCTCAATTCACATACAAAGAAACGTACTTAGTCCATACAAGTGAAATGTTTAGTGCAGCTATCTCTCTAAATCATAATACCCATACAGATATGGATCCAGGAGGGCCACCTGATTGTTGCACATCTGGTATTTTTTTTATTTATTTTACAAATAATAATTTTTATTGAAGTTTTCAGGACAGAAATCAGGATTTTGTTTTCTTAGTGCATACAAGCCATTTCCTTTATATTGTTGCCAAATAACAGACATCTTGAACTGAGGATATTTCACTAGCACTGTTGATTGCCAATATATGTTTGTATCAGGGGCGGACTGACCATTTGGAAACCCGGGCACTGCCCGAGGGCCCGGGGTCAGTAGGGGGCCCCATGAGATGCCCCTGGTACCATTTTCATGGCCTTTTTTGAGTTTGGGCAAGGACACAAGGGCCCCATGATCCTCTATTTCCCGGGGGCCCCATGAGTTGTCAGTCCGCCCCTGGTTTGTATTCTTTATAAAATAAAAAGAATAGCACTTCAATTGAACATAAGATATGGCTAAATATATGACTGCGTTAGAGCTTGCATCTCCTTTGTGTCTTTTCTAGCTAAATAATATTTCTGTGAACATTGCATGCAAGCACATAGTTCAGACATCATCCTGTCTATGAACTGTTGCATGCAGGTTAGTGGAATAGCTGTTACCATAGTCTTACATCCTTTGTGGAGTTAGGGGGATTTAAAACCAACATTATGCTCAGCTCACAAAAATATAACAATATTTACAGCAATAAAGGCCAGTGGGAGCTGGCTTGAGGGTAGAATGACTCAATATAATGATTGCTGTTGCAAATAACACATGCATTTTAGCTTAGTAAATTAAGCTTGTAATCTGTATGATGTGTACCAACTATATCATGTAATTCAATTTTTAATCAAGATGCCATTTTATTTGTATATATTTCAGTATTGTAAAGGCTCACTTACAGTTATGACAAGCTAGTTATCAGTTTCACCTATCATATTAAAACCATCCATTACTATTTAACTTTAGTAACAGCATTTTTTTTTTTTCAAAATGGAATTATTAGTGATTTTTATTTACTTCTATGAAACTGGGAAGGAATATGGTTATGTGAACCTGTTGCATTGCCTGGCACAGGTTCAAATTAGAGTTTATGTAAACCCAAAATCTATTTTTCGGTATGCTTGTCATCATGCCTCACTGTATGCAGTTTTCTTAAGCAATATTCATGTGAATTTACTGCAATGTTTCTTACCTGGAGATCATGGCAGTAACCCCACCAGCACTGACAACATTAAGCCACTGTCTTGAAATAAACAGCAGTGCTGGCAGCCTTGGCAGTTCAGCAGCCACCTGAATGTGCGCACATGCCAGGCTGACAACAATGCTGCTTATTTGCTAAGCAGTGGCTTAGAGTTGTCAGCCTGCAAACAGAAGTGCTGTTACTGGCACAAACTCCAGATATTATCTACATCAGATTCACAAAACAAAACAAAAACAAAACTGTATACAGAGCGGCATGATGGCAGTCATGGAACTGTTACTTCCTATGCACACATGGCTGTGCAGCTGCAAATAACTTTACTTAATTAGGAATTATACGTCACTAAAAGACATACTACCATACCTTTAACTATTTATTTTACACCTTTACTGGATTCTGAATGTTGCGAATTCTTACCAAAAATGAAATGTCTTGAAAAAAGGGGAAAAAAGGAAGTAAAGTGTACCTATACCCATTTTTTAAAGTGGGGAAAGATTAGAAAACTGCTATTTTAATCACCTCTTTCTATTGGTGAGATTCCTTCACGTTCTTCCCAGTAAACGGGGTTGCCAGTTGGACAGCAATACAAACAAAAGTAAAACAATTCATCTTTTAAGTTAAAGTGAAAGACAAGTCAAAACCTACCTAAGTTTAAATCTACTCCCACCCTCATTCTAAGCCTATTCTTTCTACCCTGTAAAGGAAAGCTGTCTATACTTACCTATTCTGAGGGCTCTCCGGTCTGGTCACATGAACTGTTCAGTGGCTGGCATCAGTAAAGAGGAGAGATTACTGTCAATGGGTGCAAAGCCTGTGTGATGACATCACCCATAGGTTTTCTATGCGGCATCCATTGTTGGATGTCCTTCCTCTACACTGAAGCCGGCGCTGGGACCCCATTATGTGAGCAGACCAGTGTGAATTCAGAATAGATATATATAGGCATCTTTCCTTTTACAGGGTAAATAGAATAGGTTTAGAATGGGGGTGGGAGTAGATTTAAGCTTAGTTAGGTTTTGATTTGCCTTCCACTTTAAGTATTGGAATGCTATAACCCCTATCAGTTTTTATTTGTTGTCTATTTCCTTGATGCAGATTTCCCATAACTTTCTATCTGGTAAAAGGCTGTTCCCAGAACAGAAATTGAGGGCAAATGTATCTATCGGAGTCCCAGACAGTAGTAACACCTGACAGGGGTTCTAAGCTCTTCCTGCTCTTCCCACGCCTGAAAAAGTGTTCGGAATAGATACACTCTAAAACCTTGTTATGAAGCCCTAATACTAAAATAAAGACTAACTTTTTTTTTTTTGAACAAGATCAGCTATATTGAGAATGTGAAAAAATATACAACTACAATAACATGACATGGTGTGATAATGAACAATAAATGGATTTGTTCTTTAATAAAAAATAAAGATTACTGAACTGAAGGATAATACTAAGGTAATGATATGCCATAGTGTCAGTTATCAATAACAAGTAGAAAATGATCATATTTGTTTTACAATGAGTGGTTAAGTGTCACTTGAGGCTAACATTAGATAATATATTACTTTGTTTTTTTCTTGCAATGCCAGGATTTCAGCCTACTCATGTCTGTAATGATGATTGATGAGCATAATTGCACCTTCAACTTAAATGTATCTTGCAGCTATCACACACACACACACACACACACACACACACACACACGTTTTCTTCAACTAACAAAACTGCTGTGGGAGTTACACAGCAAAAGAAATCACCCCACTAAGCAATGAAAGCTTTGTAAATACCTGAAATTTAAACACAAATGAGGGCTGCAGAGCAAAGCTTTGCTCATAAAAGCTTTACAATACATTACAATATGGAAAAGCATAGTTTTGGTTTAAAGAATTCCTGTTACATAGTAACACATAGTAACCCTTAGTGGGGACTAAGGGAAGGGATGCTTGGTACTGTCTGTTTTGTTTTGTTTTTGGTTTTTTAACTCTATAGATCTGTGGAGATTTTGGAAGTCCTACTATTAGTATAAGTTCCAATAAAGTTTCAACGAATCCATGACCCTGACACATTACTAAATCTGGTACTTTGGTTGTAGAATAAATAGGTGCCACTTCTGGGAAAATAAAAGTGAGTACAAACTACAGACAAAAATATGGAGTGGCAAACTGGCCCTGAAATCAGGAGATGAGGTGCACATTACTTTCTCTGGTCAAGTTTCTCCATCCAGCTTCATCTCCATGGATATAAACTAGGCAGGCCATACATTATGCAGTTTACTTCCCTTCAACCTTCAATGATCGCACAAAATAAACCTGACTGGCTGGTTGTATTGAAGTTGATCGATAGACTGACTTCCGTACATTCCGCCTGCCCATATATGGATCAAATACGGGAAGGTTCCTGCAGAACCAACTGAATTTCAATGTCTATGGCCAGCTTTAAGCACTTGAAGTGATGTGTCAAGATTCACACCTCAGTGTTTTGTTTATCAGTAAAGTACAGATGCTCATTAACTTATGTTTTCTACAAACATTATTGACCATGAGGAACCTGAGTGGTTGAATACTGGGTCTACTCACTTCAAAGGACCATTTCTCCCCAATTTTTTGATAGTATGTCTTAATGCAGCCACATTTACATGACTCATATCAGTGTGTAACCATGTCCCTTTATTTGCTGTCATGTGTGTTAGTATCCTGGGGATGTGACCTAACTACTACTGCAGAAGATCCATATACACTCAATGGCCATGCTATTAAGTACACCTGTTCAATTGCTTGTTAACACAAATTGCTAATCAGCCAATCACATGGCAGCAACTGAATACATTTGGGCATCTAGACGTGGTGAAGATGACTTGCTGATGTTAAAACCGAGCATCAGAATGGAGAAGAAAGGGATTTAAGTGGCTTTGAATGTGGCATGGTTGTTAGTGCCAAACGGGCTTGTCTGAGTATTTCAAAAACAAATTAATCTACTAGAATTTTCACACACAACCATCTCTAGAATTTACAGAGAATGATCTGAAAAAGAGAAAATATCCAGTGAGCAGCAGTTGTGTGGACAAAAATACCTTGTTGATGTCAGGAGAATGGGCAGACTGGTTGCTGCGATGGTAGGATCTGAATTTGGTGTAAACAACATGAAAGCATGGATCCATCCTGCCTTGCATCAACAGTTTAGGCTGATGGTGGTGTAATGGTGTGGGGGATATTTTCTTGGTATTAGCAAGGTGTACCTAATAAAGTGGCTCATGAGTTTATAATAGTATGGATACTTCCAGTGACAAAATACAGTTGCAAGAAAAAGTATTTGAACCCCTTGGAATTACGTGGAGTTTTGCATGAATTGGGCATAAAATGTGCTCTGAGCGTCATCTAAGTCACAACAATAGAAGAACACAGTCTGCTGAACATAATACTATACAAACATTAGATGTTTCCATGGTTTAATTGCACATAACATGTAAACATTCACAGTGCACAGAGGAAAAAGTATGTGAGGCCCTAGCTTAATGACTTCTCCCAGAGCTAATTGGAGCCAGGAGCGAGCCAACCTTGACTCCAATCAGTGTGATGATATTGGATGTGTTGCTGACAGCTGTCCTTCCCTTAAAAAACACACACCTGTTTTGGGTTTACTGGTTTCAAGAAGCACTGTCTGATGTGAACCATGCCTCGCAGAAAAGAGCTCTCAGAAGACCTACGATCAAGAATTGTTGACTTGCATGAAGCTGGAAAGGGTTTCAAAAGTATCTCCAAAAGCCTTTATGTTCATGTGTCCACGGTAAGACAGACTGTCTACAAATAAAGAAAGTTTAGCACTGTTGCTAGTCTCCCTAGGCGTGGTCATCCTGTAAAAATGACTGCAAGAGCACAGCGCAGAATGCTGCATGAGGTAAAGAAGAATCCCAGAGTGTCAGATAAAGACCTACAGAAATCTCTGGCACATGCTAACATTTTTGTTGACACATCTACAATAAGGAAAACATTAAACAAGAATGGAGTACATGGGAGGACACCACGGAGGAAGCCATTGCTGTCCAAAAAGAATATTGCAGCACGTTTGAAGTTTGCAAAAGAGCACCTGGATGTTCCACAGCACTACTGGCAAAATATACTGTGGACAGATGAAACCAAGATTGAGTTGTTTGGGAAGAATACACAACACTATGTGTGGAGAAAAAAAAAACACAGCACACCAACATCAAAACCTCATCCCCACTGTA